TCTCAGTGCTTTGAACTGGTCGTTTTATCATCCATTTCGTGTGAACCCCATTCAAATTCTTCTGTCGGGAAGACTCAAATGTTGAACGCATCTCTATTGAAAGTTGCGTGAGGGAAGATTCTATTGTTGCACTTTTCTAATATTGCTTCTATTTGCAGATGTCTCTCAAGATGGGTGCTGAAATGAGACAATATGTTTTATCAATACTGCCTCATCTCATACGAGTAATGAATCAAAAGGATGGCCAGCGAACTTTGTTGGAAAACACTGGTAATTTTTTTCTGCTGTTTTGTACCGTTTTGCTTCTGTCTGCGAAGGTTATTTTCATCACTTGCTCTCTTCAAGATTTTTATTTACCTTTTTGACTGCGGATTAAGACAGCAGGTGCTGTGTAAGATATTGAGCCAAGTGACTGGGTTTTTTGTGTTGGTGACTATCAAGCTGCTTCGCTTGGGATGAACCTTGTGCTGCCCATGAATGATCACGAAGGTGTACATGCCTTGCTATTTAATCTGTTTCTATATTTGACAGAAACGGGCTACCAGCAGCAAAGTTGAATGCAAACTCTTACGCAGGGTCAACCATGTGTCGCGGAGTCCGTGACGACCGGGTTCGTACCTTCGCTGCTGAGAGAGTTCTATAGGAAAAATAAACAGAAGTTCATGTTATTATTTACACTGCATCTTCTAAATGTCCTGCTCTACAGAGTTTTGCCCTTTCCATGCAGTTTTGTTTGGATTTTACACTGTTAAATCTCATTCCCAAAATCAATACCCTCTTCCTTATAAACGCTACTCTTTCACTTCCACTACGGCGACACTCATCCAATCTACAACACCAAGTAGCATACCCTTAACATAATCACAAACACCACAATCTCAAATACGCCCCTCTTCTTCCACAATTCATCGTTGCGACCCATTGTTAAACTTAGCACAACTGGCGGTCAACACTGGTCGTATTCGTCTTGGTGGTAGGTTGAGAGTTTGTAGTTGAAATTTCAGACTTGGGGGAAGAGGTCAAAAATCTTGGTGCAGTGTGGGAAGTAACGTAAAACTTGCAATTTCAGCAGTCACGTTCACACTTCACTCCCTTGACCCAGTTTTGGAGTTTTGGGGGCGTATTGTGATGTGTCACGTAGTATGCACCAGTTTCGGGACACATCGATCATCATCTTGGTCATATGAATCACCCTTTCGTGAAGAGGTCTAAAAAGTGTTATAGTTCTGTGTCTCGCCGTAGAGCGCTTCTCTCCCCCAGCATCATTGTAAGACAGGTCACATGTGAAATTAATGTAGCGTAAATAAATTTATACGGCATTAATGAATTTATACTAAACCTGTAGACTACTACTATTTGATATCGCATTAGTAAGAGTTGGTAGGCTGGCGTCCACAGTTCGCTGTAGTCACTGAATGAATAATGTTATCTTTTTCTTGCAGCGATTACGATTGGTCGTCTGGGAACATACTGTGCCGAAGAAGTTGCTCCTCATCTGGTGACTTTCATCAGGCCTGCCTGCTTCAGCCTGCGGAATATCAGAGACAATGCGGAAAAAGAAAGCGCTTTCCGAGGAATTTGTTATATGATCAATTTGAATCCGTCCGGAGTGGTTAACGTGAGTTTCTTATATTCATATACTTCGGTTGTAATATTTTAGTCACTGAAGGTACTGAGGGAATGGGGGCATTCGTGGGTTTATTTGCGATTATTTATTTACTAAACTACCTATGTTATTTATTTATTTATTTATTTATTACTGTACTGCGTAGGTGCACTACAAAATTCTTCAGGAACCAAATCAGTTATAAATCAGGAACATTGATTTAAGAATAAAATCAAATTAGCACTATTTTACCCACAAGCGGGAAGTTTTCAGACCCCAGCTCATTCGAAATTGTTGATGCCTAATAAGGCGAGTAAGTCAATGCAAAAAACTTAATATGTATAGTTGTTGTTCATTAAGTGATATTTTTATGACCCTAAATACTACTTTGGATATACCATAAGCAGTATGCAATTTTCTTCTATATTCGCTGTAGATAATGTTGCTGGGCTTTGCTTGGGTGGGCCTGCAGTCGACGAAAACTAGACAATCCGACGGCCAACTCAAACTCTCCTTTTTTTACTTTACAACGTGCAAAAATGGATGGGTGGTGTACCATCTACTCGAAAAATTTACAGGAAGTGATATGGTCAACCTCGTTCATTGAACACCACGAATATTTTCGCTTAAAATTCGACCTAACTTTTAATGAAAGCAGAGGCGAATGCGAATCCAACTGAACAGAAAAAAGTTTCCACAATAACGTCTAAAAAACATGGAGTCCTAAAAGGAAAACTCTAATCCGAAAAATTCTTGGCTTGGCGATCAACCAGAAAAACCTTATCTGAAAGGAAACAAGCGCAATGGAATGCTCATAAAGAGGTCGTGATCAAGTGCCTGATACATCACTGATTGATTTTTCTCTTGAAAAATGATTTGGCTTAGTCGCTGACTCCACTGTTCTTCGTCGACTGGACCTTACAATTCGCGAGCGTGAATTATATGTGTAAACTAAGTAGCGCAGAGGAAAAATTCCCATTTGGAAAAACGACATTAGTTTAGAGTTGATCTAATAAGATTTACGAATTTAGGATTTCGTTTTCCTGTGTGATGCGATTGCCTCTTGGACGGCACCGAAGCCCGAGCTGAAAGAGATGTTTTCGCGGGTACGTGTGTTGGCTTTTTTGGAAGTTGACATTGTCTACCATAGCTGTGATCTTGATTCTTTACATATTCTATTATATAAAAGTTTCTTAGTTTATGGTTTCGAAAAAGCTTCTGAATTGAGTGGTTCAATCGGTGTGTCGGCCTTCATTTACTATTGCTCTATTATAACGTTGAATATACAAAAGGAAGAAACTTCTATCGAGTCACAAAGCAGTTCAAAATTTGTTCATTCTAGTCGTAAATTCGTCCTTTAAGCTGCTGTCACAATGAGTGTCATTCTCATAATCAGGATCCGCAGTAATCCTTGCGAGAGATTTTCTATGGAAAACTTGTTCTTGTACCGCTCCATCCCAGTCTTGCTGTTGTATTGCAGTGGTGTAGTCGCCAATGTGGCACTCACCCCTTTAACCAGGGTCTACCGTCACGTTGTGCCGATTCAAGCATTTTCCACGATTTCCCACACACCTCTCAAGGGAATCTCCACGCGATCGCACACCACCACCTAGCGTTACAGGACAGTCCCATGGAACCCTCTCCGCCCCAAACCCTTTACCACCCCATCATCCACCCTCATCATAATGGCTTTTCTCCTCTAGAGCTGCTGTCGAGCCGGGGAAGTAGTAAATGTGGCCAAAGACAAATGCTTCAATTTCGCCTAAATCTAAAACTGCCAAAAGCCTGTGGACAACGGTCGCCTCCCCCTCTCCTTCTACAGAACAACACCAGTCCTCAGCTTCCGCCCCCATGACCTTTTCCGGAATTCTCAAATATGGTACGCCTCACCACAATCACAATACGTAAGAAGCAGAGATACGATCCTGTTCGAAAATCCGAAGTACGCCCCCCCCCCCCTCCCGCTCAGTGAACTGATGAAATTGCCTTTGACTCTGTTAAGAATAAGGTGCTTTATGCTGCCTCCTTTTATGGAAGCGATCAATCATGATGCTATGGTAACTGCATAACTTTTCTGTTGTTTAATACTTGCGACAAGTGAAAAAATTTCAGGTTATTTTCGGAGTAAGCATGGTCTCGTTTGTTTGACCGTAATTTATTCTTCTGTTATTGTCAAAGCCATGATTTTAAGATCCTGAACGGTTTTCGAACTCAAGTCGGCATTGAAAACTGGACGGCGTTCACAGCTCAATTTCCTCCTCCACTACGGGAACGTCTTGCTGCACAATACAACGTTTGATAGCTGCAGTGGTTGATTCAGCGAGTTCGCATTCGTGAAATCAGCTTTTTGTTTCACATACTCATCACATGTAGTGTGCCTTCTTAGTGTCCATCTGGTAGCGTTCATACCCGCATGTGTGCTCCCATTCGTATATACTTACCTTGCATGTTTTTTAGTTATTGTAAAGGGGTTCTGGCGCGCTGCCAAGCTTTTTCTCTAGGGTTCTCAGAGCCAGTGATTTCGTTGACCTTGAAAATGAACGTGATGTGCTGCGGCGTTTGATCTGCGTTTTTCTATGTGGGTGATTCAATTTAAAATGGGTATGGGTTTTTGTGTGGCTTCAGACGGATCAAACGTCGGCATTCTGAATGCGTGGTATCCGGTACTCTAAACAAGTTTTATGTTCGTTTCTGTACATCAGTGTTCTTTGTTGCCAGTCCCTCGTTCAGTGTTTGGATACGTGCAAGGTGACTGGTATGCACTTAATAATCTTCGAAATTTTATACAATTTTTTCGATTATCAGTTTTGTTCTCTTTTACCCACCTGATTTTCTCCTCGAATCTAGTCATACCCGATCCTCGCGTATCCATCGTGTGTTGTTAATGTCGTCCTTGTTGCACGTTTTTAGTTTATATGAAATAATATATATGTATACAAATTAACACATTTTCGTTTATATGATTCATCTGGGTTTGGATCATATTCTCTGGTTGTTGTCTGTCTCTTTTATGTAGGATTATTTGTAGGGTTGTGATCCTGTTGGCTCCTCGTACGAGTTACTGGTCGCTAACGTGCATGTCAACAACGGGTTTGTGTGAGGGACCCGATCGTGGTGGGAATGGGTGAAGTCATGCGGTCAGAATAGCTCATTATAAAGCGAAGTGTTTCCAGTGTTTTGGCTTGGGGCTGATTCTATGAGTCACCTAAATATGGTATCAAAGGAAACTTCAATTTTTGAGAAGTGTTCTGAGGGTAAGTAGAAGGCGGGAGACTTACTAAAAATTTGAAACAGAAATGGCCTTTGTTGACTTTCTCACCAGACCGGGTTCCCGTGCCCGTGATAGAATCTTCTAATATTCCTGCTTTCGTAGAGCTTAGTGTGTCGTAGTGCTTCTATGTTGTTAGCGTCGTATATGTGTGTCCGTCCGTGTCCGGTCCTTAGTCCGTTGTCCGTGATACGTGTGCTGCCTTTCTCAAAGAGTTAGGTTTTCTCAACCCGTGCCCTGTCCCAGTTCTTGTCCTTGATTGTCTATGGTGACAACGTCCGATGTTCCCAAGTGTGCTCGTCCGTACTTTCGTTCGTTCGTCCGCCCGTCCTGTACGTCCGTCCGATCTCTGGTGCTCTCTCCCTCTGATCCATCTTTCACTTGTTCTCGTCTCTTTATGTATTTGTTTAATTAATAGTTTTAATATATTAATCCTCGCGCTTGTTTAGTTTTAAGTCGTTTGCATTGGAAATTTTCACATATATTTAGAAAATTGGCGTGTTTTATTTCTACTATATCTGTAATCATTTCCTATAGAGAACTTGATGTTGCGATGTGTCGCGGCGTGAACTCGCTTCTATTTCGGGTAGAGTACCTGTGTTTGTTGTCCTCGAGGAATCTGTGATTAGTGTCGTGTTTGGCCCGAGATGACCGTTGCGAGTTCTATAACTATTTGTATGCATGTGTGTGTCTGTCTGTCTGTGTGTGCCTGTTTATATGTCGATGTTTGTGTGTGTATATAGTAATCGCATGGTCATTGAGGGGATTTTTCCACATGAAGACTTGTTTATTATACGTCTGGGTTTCGCGAGGCCATTGCTGCCTGTGGGTCAATTTGTTGCTCTGATAAAATTTATAGTGTCTCTATTTTCTTACGTTCACCATTGTTGACATCACTATTATACATTGACATTGATATAAAAAAGTGTCAAAACATTGGGATCGTTTTCATCCCTAATATAACTTAAACGAATAAACTGCTCGTCTTTAATTGATTCTCTGTTTCACTTTGAAGAATCAGATTTTTCTAGGCTTTTTAGCGTGTAACAAACTTATTGAAGGCAAGACTCGGGATAAAACGGGGTTTAAGAGCTAATAATGAAGCTGGAGGTGGGGAGTGGTACGGAAAAGAAGAAGAAAGTGCAAGAAGTTCTCGAATCCGCCCCGAACAAGGCAGCCTCCTCTTTCAGTCGTGTTCCCCCCCCCCCCTAGAAAAAAGCACTGGCGTTAGCGGACGAGTTTACGATTAGCTTTAGTCGCTCCAATGCCGACAACAAGGCGCAGTTCTAAGGCTGGTGTCAGAGTCCGCAATCCGTCGCGCGATTCGCGCGAATCGCAAAAATCGCAAGTGCCCCATTTGAACATTTGAAACACTGAATATGAAACAAGTAGAATCATGAACAGTCGTCATTCACCATCACCATCAAGCAGAAATGGCGGCGGATTGGAGAACACCTTCGCAGTATTGATCGGGGCACTTGTGATTTCCGTGATCCGTCGCACGAATAGCGTACGGATCGCGTACTCTGACACCAGCCTAACGCCGCCGCAACCGCGGCCGCGCTCTTCTCGTGGCAGCCGGCATTGGAAGGCGGGGCTCGCGAACCAGCAGGGGTAGAGATGCGGGTCGAGTAAGCTTCTAGCGCCTTTTTCGCGCACTTTGACACCGAATGGGGCAACGACATCAAACTTGTTCGCCTGTCTACCACTATCGAGGACGGAACAGGTGAACATGCCTAATCCCAGAGCGTGCCTTAAAGTCCTTGTTGGGTAATTTACAAGAAACCATCATTCTATTGTTTCTTGCAAGTTCGCGGGTCTGAAGAAATGTTCCAGTTAAAATCAATCCAAGCAACTTATTGGTAGTGGTGTATGCAAAGCATATGTTGGAACGAGGCCAGAAGTGCATTACGGTCTGGCAATCTGCGAATGAGGTCGTATCCGATCCGCTCAGAAAAAGCGGCACCACTGAAATGACATGTTGCTGTTGAAGTCAATGAAGTTTATAATGATGCTATAATTCCCTGGTCATCATTTGCAATGACACATTTGATGGTCAACAGACGAAGTCTACTGTTATGTTGTTGTTGTTGTTGTTCGCCATTATCAAAGTGTTGAAGAAAGTTCAAAACAATTTCACGAGAAAGCTTTTTTTATCAAGCCTA